GGCACACTTTGTTGGAAATCTTCAGACTGTTCGTAAAACAATTTCTGGGATCAATAACGTCTAGGGGCATTATCCTGCTAGAATTAACCCACCGTTGTTTAAAATTCTGTATTCCATAAGTGTTTGCAAATAGTCACGAAACAGGGCAACATTGTGATCAAAGACATGTTTTGGCCGACCAGATGTTACGTTAACACATCTCAAACCGTTACTGAAACACAGTTAACCTACACAATGTCCTGCTGAAAACTGGTGTTCAGGTTTCCGTAGCCTCTGCGCTGAACCTGAGCCCTATCATCATCCCCAAACAACTGCAACAGACACATCAGATGTCACGATCCCAGTTGTGGCTTTGTTCCCAATGTTGTAAACAGGTGCATCTTAGGAAGGCTCTTGGTCAATATCCACGTAAAGAAATCGCATGAATCCGAATCTGCAAAATTTACTTTGTTCTGCAATTTAACACATAGTTTTACTACGATGGAGGATGAAAATTTCTCTGTCTGATCAGGAAAAGGTATTTGAAACATAAAACATAATACTGCATATTTCGACGTATAAGACGACCATGAGAAATAAAGATTTTATGGTATACCAAAGTAACACTTGTAGTAAAGTAATTATGGGGAAGTAGTCTGGTTATTCACTCACTCTTTTTTGCTAAAGAATGTTACAAGCCTATGGCAAGAGATATTAACATATCGAATGATTAGACAGAAGTACATTTATTCCTTCCCAAAATGCGCAATGAACGTAAACACCTCAGGGCTAAGCTCGAACTCTGTTCAGTATCCCGATACATCCAGCACTAGCTTTCAAATTTACATAGGGAAATCTGCGGCTGACGAAGATTTCGAGGAATTTCCTCATAAAAAAAATATTTACATTCACGTTTAATGTCCACCGCCTTTTGATGCAAAATAACTGTATTGTACATCAAACTGAGTGGCGTTTTTTTGCAGAGACTCCATGCATTGCTGAAAGGCAATGTGTTGTCTTATATTCAGTGCTATTCAAATTACTCGAAGTATTTGGTAGTGCCTATTTCACATACACACACACATATACATATATATATATATATATATATATATATATATATATATATATATATATATATATATATGAGAGTTTGAGACGCTACCGGTAATGTTTGCCTATGTACCTATGCCTGTCTGTGTCTATATGAACTTTCTTTAAATTTTTTCTTTACACACGCATGTCTATATTGGTAATGATAATATTTGCTGTTTCATTATAAGGAAACATTCAGCAGCCTGTGCTACTTTTGTGGGAAATTTATAAAATCTTTCTCTTAAAACAGTTTTTCAGGAAAAAGGTTACTCAAGTCCATTGTTGTTGGCAGGGGGAGGGACTCCCTATTTTTTTTTTTTTTTTTTTTTTTTTGTTAAAGAGCAGAGCATCAGTATTTTGATTATTTTCTCTTCGACTTACGTGTGATATACATTTTAGTTGTTGTCATTATTGGAAGTCCTCAAGCGATGTAAATTCTCTTTATATTCCTTTGTTTCTGATTCTGTAATGCCAGTCCACGAAGTTAAAAGAAGAATAGTTCTTAAGACCTACAGGCTTTATACACTTGAAGCCACCTTTTAATCTTGAATCTGAGTAAGTGGGTGTATACAGCTGAGTTATATAATATTTCTGAATGAATTTGAAGACTTGTATGACATCCATATGAAAGTCTCGATCTGATGAAGATATTTAAGAACCCGACACTAGTTTTTAGGTCAATGTTTTGGATACTTAACAAAATTCTGGTGTTGTGAGAAACTACCCCTAGCACTGCCTATCCTATATTCAATTTCCTTTCCTCTACTAAATTTGCAATAACTGATCCATACTCCAAGGTATCTGAAGATTTTTTTTTATGGATGTAGAGTAGGTACCATCGCTGCTTTCATTCAAATTCATGTCATAGTTTCTGTTTTGGAAAGTTTATACTTAAGTCCTAATTTTTCTTTCATTTTGTCTATTTGTTTCTATTTGTTTGTCTGTAATTCTTTTTCTTTTTCCTTTCTGAACGCTTGGTAGAGGTTGTTGACATATTTCAAGGTTATTCTTATTCCAACTATTATGTCATCGGCACAGTTTCCCAGTCACACTGGCGTCGGAAGCAAGAAACAGTATTTTGTATTAGATTCATCTGGGATATGGAATAGAATGCTTAAATCATCAGTCTCCAGCACTTTACATCTATGCCTGCATATGAAGAGGAAAAGATCAAACAGATTAGAGGGTTTTCATTTTCCCCTTGTCGTACTCCTGATGAGATTTGAAATGTTTTGGTTGTCGATTCTTCACCAGTCATGTAAGATTTGTGGGCCTATATCGCTCCTTTATCCAATCCAGAGAATCTGTGGGGTCAGATCTTGGAAATAGTTTTCTAATATTGATTAGCAAAAGTTTTTACCACCAGTGCATTATATCAAGAGTAATAGCCATAGTCTCCTATTCGCTCCTATTACGTCGATTGCATCTCCGAGCAGAGTGTGGCACATCGTCACAAAATGGGTATCCTGTTGACTGTGCTTATGTCTAACTTTTCACTTTCTCCCTTCGGCATTAAATAACCTGGGACAGATTGACACGCTTTAAAACAAAGTAAACCAAAGCAAAAACTGAAGATATCTTAAATCAGTCCAATGTTTCTCGTCTTCTGAGAGAGACATTAGTGTACGTATACGTCGTTAATTGTGGGAAAACATAGCATCATGATTAAATTTGAGAAAACCTGTGTCGGCAGTGTGATGGCTTGATCAAAATTTCTTTCGTAAATAACTGGTCATATTATTCATGAGGATTTGTAGTTTGATACTAAAGATCATGGCAAGAGTAGTGTTTTTCAATGGGACTTTCACCCTGCCACACGATACGAGTTATACGGGAATGTTTTCAGGAAGAAATACTGTTAATCTAACCAACAAAACCTCACTGAGCATTTAAGGATCTGTTAAACAAGTAGTAGATTCTAGCCAATAACCTGTTAAGGAGGGATCAAAAAAGACGTGTAGTGTCTGTGTATGATCGGGTAAGTATTGCAGGAACCCTGAGAACTACAGTATAAGAGTTGTCGGGACCGGAGAAGTCGTCTCTTATATCCGGGTTTTGGTCTATTTTGTTTAGGTAATTATGACTCTAATTTGGGACCAGAGAAAATCTTATATCCGGGTCTCTTATGGCGAGTGTTCAAAATTATTTTGGATCATCAGGATATATAATTCTCTTCTAGGTGTGGTGTCGTCCTTTCAAGAGGATGGCTATCATGGAGATCCATTATTTCCTGTCCTTGGGAACTCTTAGTAAACTTTCTTTCCTCCTAAACTCTGTTCTGCCATTCATTTACACAAGTTCGTGAGTTATGTTATGCTTTTTGTTTTCTTCTGTTGCATTCAATATTTCCTGTGAGTGTCAAATTTTCCAAGCCGCCGCCTTTATGCGCTCTAGAAATTTCAGTTGTCTCGTTTTTTCATTTTGTCAATTTTGTTTTCATTTTTCTCTAAACCTTTGTCGATGCTCACGTGTCCAGTCCACGGTATTTTCACCATCCTTCTGTAAAACCACATTTCTTGTGAGGAGTTTGCCAAACATCTACTCCCATTTCAGAGGACTGATATAACAACAGTTCAGTACTCTTTTCTTTATTCTTTTTGTTCTGTGGGTGCGATTCTGTTCAGAGAATTTTTGGCAATTTTTTTCTCATGGGACAGGTATATTTTTTTTTTTTTTTTTTTTTTTTTACTCATAGCTAGTGTTCTTAACTATCTTAAATATTTTTATCAGTATCCGAGACACTCAAATTGTCAAATATTCAGATAAATCGAATAACCCTCATTTCATTTGCACTATCAATGTAGGAACCTTCTCAAGAATTGCCACTTTTGGAGCTAACTCCCGTGTACTTGCTTCCCTGAACACATCACTTCCTGTCCTCTTCTCTTTATACTCGTATGTATTTCCTACCATTCTTCCCCTTCTATTCAGCATCATCATTTTGGTTAGACTTGTTTTGAATGACATTTTGTATACTATTTACATTATTGTCCTCATCTTTGTTGGCATATTTGTCACAACGTTTCAGCCTTTTTACGCTCCAGCCTCTTCAGGGTGTTAGAATGACGAACTGTTCTCCACTGCTGTCACTGCATCTAACCAACACCATTATCCACTGTACCATGTGTCCTTAAGAACATCTGTGTATGAATTTCTGGAACTGATAAACTTAATGTCTTCAGTAACCATTCTACCAGTGCTCATATTGTAATTTTTTCTGTTATCATTGTATTTTTTTTTTATTTTTTTTTTTTTACCAGAGCTTCGTTGTTATTATTGCTTTTCTCTGATACTCTTTATTACTAGTTCCCCATATTGTATTCATTTCTATGCTTGGTCAGCTCAGGGGATTTTTGTGGCCTAGCATATGTGCTAACTCCTTAAGTTTACAAATTTTCCAATGATGTTCTTTTGTCTATGATTTTAACCTGATCGCTTTTCTCTTCATATGTGGTCAGCCACGCCTGATTTTTCCACTTCCCCTTGTGTTACAGTATGACAACAAATGAGAAATACTCCGAATAATGTAAATAGTGTACATAATATCTCAACTCAGAAATAAAGACAGAAATTTTGTATATAAGAAAAAGAAACTAAATAAAAAGAACAGGAAGTGACTGTCACGACTTGTCTCTGAGTAATTTTGAATGATATTTGAGAGGAAGTTATCAAACGGCGTAGAAACCCTATTTTTCTATACGCTGAATTTTCTTTTCTACACTGCCGGCAAAATCTTTGTTAGTATCATTGATTGAACGATTCTCATTTGCGTCATAGTAATATAACTTGTCTCGATTCCAGGAGCGCCTAGTTTTGCTGTACTTTCACCTGCATATCAGTCGAGTTTTATCGGGGAAAAAAACTGACAGAGGAATGAAATATTGATGACGAAATTCTATTTCAGCATTTAGATAACACGTTCGCTG